GGATCATGGTTCAAAGCCAGCCCGGGCAGGAAAGTCCCTGAAATTCTTATCTCCAATAAACTACTAGAAAACTGGAAGTGGCGCTGTGGCTCAAGGGGTAGAACACTTGCCTTGAGCTGAAGAGCGCAGGGACAGCGCCTGGGCCCAGAGTTCAAGCCCCAAGACCTACCAAAAAAAAAAAAAGAATCTCACAGGACTTTTCTGCTGGAATTGGTTTTGAACCGAGACCCTCAGATCTCAGCCTCCCGAGGAGCTAGGATTACAGGCTCGAGCCAGGCTGTCTCTATCACTCTTTTCTTTCTTGTCTCTCTTCCCCAACTTTCCCATGTCTCTCTCTGTCTTCCTCCCCCACTCCCCCCCTCGTCTACACTGGTATTGGGGCTTGAACTCAAGGCCTGGACACTGTCCCTTAGCTTTTTCACTAAAGACTGGGGTCTACTACTTGAGCCACAGCTCCACTTCCAGCTTTTGTGTGGGGGTGGGGGGGGGGAGGGGATTAATCAGAGATAAGAGCCTCACAGACTTTTCCTGCCTAGGCTGGTATTGAACTGTGATCCTCAGATCTCAGCCTCCAGGGATTACTGATGTGAGCCTCAGGGCTCCTGGCTTTCCACCTTTTCTTAAAGGGACCCTGGGCTCTGGCTCCAGCTCTGCCTCTTAGGAGCTGTGTGACTCCGGGTAGGTGGCTGACCCTCTCTGGGCCTCTGCTGCCTTCTCTGAACCGAGGGAGAAGAAAAAGTCAGGATTGGAGCCGGTTGAGAGGAGGGACAGTGCATTTGGACATTCTGCGCACGCGTCAAGACCTGGAAGCCATCGCCAGCCCAGCCAAACAAAGATGGGCACGTGTTCAGAGGCTGGCACATGGAGGCATTGTGCATATGAATTCTCCCCAGTGCCATCCAGGAGAGGCGTGGGGAGGGGAGCCCTAAGTGTCTCCCACTACCCTCTCTCCGCGGCACCCCCTTCCCACCCAGGGCGGCCCCACCCAGGGCGCCTTGCCCACGGCTGGGTTAAGTTGGCACCGGGCGAGGCGGGAAGAAGGGAGAGCTGGCCCATGGCGGCGTCAGCAAATGGTCACCATCTGGGCTGGCAGCCGGCGTGGGCGGGCCTGGCACCCCTCCCCCCCTGGCACGGCGCCCGCCCGCGCTTCGGATTTCGCTGGCTGCCAGGGGGGCGGGAGGCCCGGCTGGGCGGAGGCCCCGGGCGGGCAGCCGGCCTCCCCTCCCCTCTGCCTGGCTACCTCTCTCTCTCTCTCTCTCTCATTCCTTGGCTTGTGAAGACCGAGTCTTCCTATGTAGCCTAAAACTTGCAATCTTCCTGGCAGGGATTACAGGAGTGAGCTACTAGGTCCGGCTGTACCCTCTCCTCCAATCTCTCTCTCTCTCTCTCTTTCTCTCTCTCTCTCTCCCTCACGTGGCTGGCTTCCTGCTGCCTTCAGGCCTCATCTCCCAAACTCATCTCTCCAGGAAAGCCGCTCTACCCCTTATGTCCCTGTCTTGTTGCTGTTACCTCTGTTCCCTTCCTCTTAGGGTGTTGCTGACTATCAATCTAGCTACTCGGGAAGCTGAGATTTGAGGATCATGGGTTCAATGCCAGGCAGGGCCAGAAATTCCTGGAGACTCTTGAACTACAAAAGTGAACCACAAGGGCTGGGAAGGTGGCTCAGGGGCAGAGCGCTTGCCTCGCGTGCATGAGGCCCTGCGTTCGATTCTTCAGCACCACATAAGCAGAAAAAGCCAGAAGTGGTGCTGTGGCTCAAGTGGTAGAGCGCTCGCCTTGAGCTGAAGAGCTGAGGGACGGCACCCAGGCCCAGAGTTCAGGCCCCACGACCAACAACAACAACAAAAAGTGAACCACAGAAAGGCTGGAAGTGGCGCTGTGCCAGGAGCGGGAGAAAGCGGCAGCCTTGCACGCACAAGCTCAGGCACATCGCCCGGGTTCCGAGTTCAAACTCCAGGACCGGAACCATAACCACAAAACAACAATTCAGGGCTTGGATTCTCGGCTCCCAGACTGCACCAGCTGGACTGGAGGCAACATCAGCCTCCAGGGGCGCCTCACCCGCGCGTCCATGCCAGGCCCGGCTGCCCTGGGCACACGCCACGTGCCGGCGGCCATCCCCGGAGGCCCGTGGGGCACCGGCTGGAAGCCCAGGCAGCCATGTTCCGCCCCAGGAGACACCCTGGCCTCTGTCCCTGGGCTTCTGTCCCCACCCCCTCTGGCTCCCAGCGTAGGGTTTGGTCTCAGCTTGGGGGACCAGACGGCAACCCGGGGAACCCAGAGCTCGGCTTCCATTGCCTGCACGTCCACCTCCCTCTGTGATGAATCTCTGATCTCTTCTGCCACCAGCGGGAGAGGTGGGGCGGGGGGTATTGGTGCCGGAGATGGACACTTCTAAGGCAGGATTGTCTAAAGTTAAATCTCGATCATCTGGTGAGACCCCCAGTCTCAAGAAGAAAAACAAGGAGGAAAAAAAATGTGCTAAGTCAGAAAAAAGGGCCTGGCAGAGAGGTAGTGGAGCTAAGACCTGGGGTTTTGAAATACAAGTAGGAGTTTTCCATAGGAGAAAGCCATTCTAGGTTGAGCTTATGGCCAGAGCAAAGACTTGTGGGTGGGGAATGGAGGGCAATACTGATGGTTTTGGCTGTGGCAGGTTGTGGGGCTTGAACTCGGGGCCTGGGCGCTGTCTCTCAGCTCTTCAGCTCAAGATGAGCACTCTGCCACGTGAGCCACAGCGCCACTTCCGGTTTTCTGGTGGTTCATTGGAGATAAAGAGTCTCGTGGGCTTTCCTGCCCAGGTTGGCTTCAAACCACAATCCTCAGATCTCAGCCTCTTGAGTGGCTCGGATGACGGGTGTGAGCCACCGGCGCCAGGCTGGGCTCCCTCACACAGCTACGGTGGAGCAAATGACTTGACCTAAGTCACCCAGCCAGGGAGCAGCTAAGCCAGTGGCTGGAATGCCGCCCAGGTGATGGGCAGAGGGGCACTGGAGTGTGGGGGGGGTGGTGCTGAGGGCAGGGGAGGGGGAGGGAAGAAGGGACGGGGAGGGGGGGATGGCTTTGGAGATGGTGGTGCTGAGTCTACAGAAAATTGGCTTCAGAATTGAATCAGTTGGGGTGGGGGCAGGGTGGGGGTGGGAGGAAGGACGGGTTCTCTATGGGGATGGGGTCCTCATCCCCCCCCACCCAGGGGCCATCCCTGCCCACCATGCATGGCTATCTGGTCCACCTCTCTGCCCTCCTCCATGGGCAGCCCTGGGACTTTGCTGTTCCCTGGTGCTGAGTCAAGGTCAGGAGTGAAGGTCACAGTTGGGTTATTCTACCCTTGCGGGCTGAACTTCATGCCAGCACTAGCCAGTAGCTATTGTACTAATGGGAAAACAGGCCCGGCCGCTGTCCCTGAGCTTTTTCCACTGAAGGCTGGCGCTCTACCACTTTGGGCCACAACACCACTTCCAGCTTTTGGGTGCTGGAAGATAAGAGTCTCACAGACTTTTCCCCCTGCTGGGCTGGCTTTGAACCTCAATCCTCAGATCTCAGCCTCCTGAGGAGCTGGGATGACAGGCGGGAGCCACTGGGTGTGTGGCCCCAATCCTCCTCTTCATTTTTGATTTTATTTGACATAGGGTCTCCTCTGCGGCCCAGGCTAGCCCGAAACTCGCTCTCTGCGTGCCTCGACCACCGAGTGCTGAGATTACAGGTGGACACCATCCTGCTTGGTCAACCTCCAGTTTCTCTTACATTTGTCCTGGGTGCCCAATGCCAGGTTCTCCTAGGCTTCCCACAGCTGGGGTGCAGCCAGTGCGGGCTGGGCTGGGATATATGTCTCCCCCAGTCCCACAGAGATGGTGCTGTAACCCCTCCACGTCGCAGGCCACACGCGACCAGCCACACACACAATCCTGGGGGGGTTCCTTGCAGCCCAGTCTAGCTGCAGGACCTCCAAGAACCTCGATTTGTTAGCTGGGGAGACAGCTCTTCTCCCCTGCTCCATCCGCTGTGGGCTTTGCCTACCATCCATCCCCCAGAGCCGGGCTGGCTGCCTCCTCCTCCTCCTCCTCCTCTACGGAGCCGCCACAGGCCCCTGGCCACACAGTGTGGGGCATCTGGACCCAGAGCTGCCCATAGAAGGGAGCGTGGAGGACCATGATGGCCACTGGACAGAGTCCCCATGCATGCCCAGTGAGTGACCCTGGGACCGAGTCTGCCAGACTCTCACTGTGCCCTCACGACATCATGTCTTGTCACCGGGGCCACAATCTTGGAGCCCTCAGCCGGGGAGGTGACATCCTGCCTCCCCCTCAGACTGGCACACCGCACCTAACCACCTCTCCGGGCCTGGCACACGGCCTCGCTCCTCGGATTCTCACCTCATCCGCCTTGCCTCTCACCTCAGACTTGCACATCAGCCTCTGTCTCCTCTCTCCCACTCAGAGCACGAAGCTTGCCCCTCACACTTGCACGCGAGGCTCTGCCGCCTCCCTTGGACTTGCACATCCACCTTGGACTGGCACATGGGCTTTCCCCCGCCTCAGAGCGGCACTCCTGCCTCTCCCCTCAGATCGGCAGTTCCAACCCTGCCTCTTCCCTCGGACCAGTACCTCTGCCTCTGCCCTCTGATTGGCATTCCTACCCCTGCCTTTCCCCTCTGTCGTCCCCTTCCCTCCACGGGCCGGCCCCGCCCCTCCACTACCAGCCCCGCCCCTCCGCCGACCGGCCCCGCCCCTCTGTCAGCCGGCCCCGCCCCTCCGGTATCAGCCCCGCCCCTCCGCCGGCGGGCTCCGCCCCTCAGCTACCAGTCCCGCCCCGCAGGCCGGCCCCGCCTCTCCGTCCGCAGGCCCCGCCCTCCACCGGCAGGCCCCGCCCCTCAGCCCGCAGGCCCCGCCCTCCGCCGGCAGGCCCCGCCCTCCACCGGCAGGCCCCGCCCCTCCGTCCGCAGGCCCCGCCCCTCCGCCCGCAGGCCCCGCCCCTTCCCCGCCCCGCGCAGGCGCAGCGCTCACCTCGCTCCCGCACGAAGTAGGCCAGGTAGAGGTCGAGCTCCTTGACGGCCACGCCGATGTGGTGCGGCTGCACGCAGAGCACCGGGTGCCCGCACTGCGCCGCCTTCACCAGGCGCTCGCCGTCGGTGCTCTCGAGCGGCACGCCCTTGAAGAGGATGACCATGACCAGGTCCAGCCGCCACACCTTGTCGGCCTGGCGCAGGCAGTCGATGCGCCGCATCTTGCCCTTCTGGTCCGGGTTGGAGAGCACGCAGCCCGGCGCCTTCTTGCCGGTGACGGCCAGCACGAAGTCCTCGCGGCACTCGGGCCGGATGTCCTTGCGCAGCTTGGCCAGCAGCCGCGAGGCCCACTTCTGCTTCACCTCGGCCTTCTCGCCCAGCAGCTCGTCCTTCACGGCGCGCTCCTCCTCGCGCGACATGCGCTTCTCGTGCTTCTTGAAGTACTTGCGCTTGCGCGCCTGCAGGTTGAACCAGGTGTAGGCGAAGGCGCGCACGTGCGGCAGCAGCGCCTCGATGAACGGGTGGAACTCATCCTGCGGGCGGCGGAGGGGGCGGTCAGCGGGGCGCGGGGCCCGAGACCCGGGGGACGCGAGACCGGGGGACCCAAGACCCGGGGGACGCGAGACCCGGGGGACCCAAGACCCGGGGGACGCGAGACCCGGGGGACCCAAGACCCGGGGGACACGAGACCGGGGGGGCCCGAGACCGGGGGACCCAAGACCCGGGGGACACGAGACCGGGGGGGCCCGAGACCCGGGGGACGCGAGACCGGGGGGGGCCCGAGACCCGGAGGGCCCGAGACCCGGGGGACGCGAGACCCGGGGGACCCGCGACCCGGGGGACCCGCGACCCGGGGGGCCCGAGACCCGGGGGATCCGAGACCCGGGGGACGCGAGACCCGGGGGACGCGAGACCGGGGGACGCGAGACCGGGGGGGGGGGGGCCCGAGACCCGGGGGACCCAAGACCCGGGGGACGCGAGACCCGGGGGACGCGAGACCGGGGGACGCGAGACCGGGGGGGGGGGGCCCGAGACCCGGGGGACCCAAGACCCGGGGGACCCAAGACCCGGGGGACCCAAGACCCGGGGGACGCGAGACCCGGGGGACGCGAGACCCGGGGGACCCAAGACCCGGGGGACGCGAGACCGGGGGGCCCGAGACCCGGGGGACGCGAGACCCGGGGGACGCGAGACCCGGGGGACGCGAGACCCGGGGGACCCGCGACCCGGGGGATCCGAGACCCGGGGGACGCGAGACCGGGGGACCCGAGACCCAGGGGACGCGAGACCGGGGGACCCAAGACCCGGGGGATCCGAGACCTGGGGAGACCCGAGACCCGGGGGGACCCACGACCTGGGGGGACTGGGGCTGGGGGACCCGCGACCCGGGGAAACAGACCTCCCGGAAACTGGACACCTGGGGAGACTGAGGCTGGAGGACCCGGACACCCGAGGGGACCCGCGCACCAGGGGAGACTGAGGCCTCCCGCGACCCGGACGCCTGGGGAGACTGGGGCTGCGGGACCCAGACACCCAGGGGGACCCGCACGCCCGGGGGGACCCGCGCACCAGGGGAGACTGAGGCCTCCCGGGAGACCCACGCACCCAAGGGGACCCGCATGCCCGGGGAGACAGGCTGCTGGGACCACCCAGGAGAGACCCAGACACCCAGGGAAACTGAGGCTAGGGATTCCTGGGACCCGGACACCTGGGGAATTGAGCCTTGGGGGAAGGGCCTGGACATAGTGGGAAATAGGCTGGAGGAGGGCATCCTGGGACCCAGACAGATGGGGAAACTGAGGCTCAGATGTGGGGAGAAACTAAGGCTGGAGGGGGAAGGGCTTACTAGGACCCAGACACACAGGGAAACTGAGGCTCAGAGGAAGGCCTTCCTGGGCCAGACACAGGCAGCAAGCTGAGGGCAGCGGCTCCATTGAACAGAGGAGAAGCAGACTCTGGGACTGGAAAATGTCCTCCATGGGTACCCCGTTCAGGGAGGATGTGAGCCCCAAAGTCTCTCTAGGCCACCCCTTAACTTGTCCTTCAAGGACAAAATTAGCTACGGGTAGCTAGAGGCGAGCGGCTCACACGTCATTCTAGCGACTCAGGAAGCTGAGACCTGGGGATCCCAGTTCAAAACCAGCCCAGGCAGGCAAATCCATGAGACTCATTTAAGCACCAAAAAAGCTAAGGGACAGCAATACCCAGGACCTGAGTTCAAGCCCCAGGACCAACATGCGTGTATGCACGCGCACATGGGCACCCGCTCACACGCACGCACACACACACACACACACACTTGCTAAGGAGAGACGCGATTGTATATATGGGGGGGCGGCAATAAAACCTTATTTATGAAATAGCGCCTCGAACCTGGAATCCTAGCTATTCGGGAGACTGAGACCTTGGGGAAAATCATGGTTAAGAAACCAGAAAAAAAAACAAAAATCCTTCAGGCCAGCCCAAAGCTGGGATGGGAGCATGGTTCAAGTGGTAGAGCACCCGCTGAGCGAGTGGGAGACCCTGAGTTCAGAATCCAGAACTACCAAGGTGGGGGGGAATGATAAAAAGAGAATGACACCAGGTTGGAGTCCCCAGGCTATGGCCCTTTAAACCCCTCATCTTGTCTCCTGGGGGGAGAGGGAGGGGCTCCCTACCTACCCTTGCTCTGTTCCCCGGCCCCCTCCCCAGGGCACCTTGCTCTTGGGGTGCTGGGGTGGGGAGGGGACACGGCACCTCACCTATTACTGAAGCTCTGAAAATATCCTGCTGAGACCAGAGTTGGGTGGGGGAGGGATGGGTCACCATCCTGTGCCAGGCCAGCTGCCCACTCACACTGACCCCTCGAGGGTGAGTCACCCTCCCAGCTGCTGCGGCCTGGCCCAGAACCCAGGGCCCCCGTTCTGCTGCCCTCCCTCCCACCCACCGGCTGAGGAAAGTGGAGGGGGAGGGTGTCCCACGCCAGCCCCCTCCCCCCCAGCCTCAGGGCCTGGATGCTAATTGATAACACAAGACCCACCAAGGGGTCAGAGGCCGCCCGCTCAAGCTCTGGCACTTAACAGGGGACGTGGTACGAGGCCCCCGTGGCTCCCGCCTGTCATCCCAGTTACTCAGGAGGCTGAGATGTGAGGATCGTGGTTCAAAGCCAGCCCGGGCAGGAAAGTCTGGGAGACCCTGCTCTCCAATCAATCAACCACCCCAAAAAAGCAGGAAGTGGAGTTGTGATTGAAGTGGTAGAGGGTTAGTTCGCGTTGAGCAAAATAAAACTCAGGGGCAGCACCCTGAGTTCAAACCCCGGTACTTATACCCACATGAAAAAAAATGGCGAGGGGCCGGGAAGGTGGCTCAGTGGTAGGGCGCTTGCCTTGCATGCATGAGGCCCTGGGTTCGATTCCTCAGCACCACATAAGCAGAAAAAGCCGGAAGTGGCGCTGTGGCTCAAGTGGTAGAGCACTAGCCTTGAGCAAAAGAAGCTCAGGGACAGCGCCCAGGCCCTGAGTTCAAGCCCCAGGACTAGCAAAAAAAAAAAGGCGGGGGTGGTTAGAGCTAGCGGGAGGAGTGCTAGCTAGTCAGAGGGCCATAGCCAGGCCCCCACACTCTACCTCTCCTTGAACTCCTTTCTCTCTCGGAGCCCCTTTCCAGAATTCCTGGCCTGGTCATCTTTGAGCTGCCCAGTGCCCCCCCCCCTCCAAACCCTGCCCCTCAACTGGGAGCCCCATCCCTTCTGAGCCTGGGGAAGGGTGCCAGGCAGGCCTGGCAGGGGTGAGAGTCCACGTCACTGGTGACCCCAGCTAGTCCGGAGACAAGAGGACAAACAGCCTGTAAGTAGGTCACAGACCTGCCGGCCGCCTGCCCGATCCTCCCGCTTCCTTTCAGGGAGGTCAGACCAGGTGAGAGGCAGGGCAAGTCCCTGTGTCCCGCAGACTTGTAACAATCACGACCTCTTCCCAGCCCGGGCAAGGAGCAGCTGAGAATCCTCCCCGAACTCCTATACATCCCTCAGTGGCCCTTTCTCCAATGGCCCTCCCTTCAGGCAGCCTTTCCTGCTCCCCACCTTGCCTGGACCACACAAGCTGGGTTGCACATCTTTGTGTCTCCTGTGTTCCAATCCCCAACTCCGATGGTCCAGGACAGCCAGCCAATCAGGACATGAAAATGCACTTTCTCCAGGTGAAAGTAACTCAACAGTCCTTACTGAGAATTCACTTTGTCCTCTTCCTTGGTCAAGTCTTACCCCCAACTCCTATGCATGCTTCAAAACCCTGGTTCCAATGTCTCCTTTCCCCATGTTAGAAGGCTCACCCAAAATCTGTGACTAGTGAAGGGGGTAGGGCTCCTATCTGAACTGAGGCCCATCTGGCACCAAAGCCAGAGTTGGCAGCCTTGGCTAATTCCTTCGCCCAGCCCGACGTCTAGCTCATATTTAACCCTGTCAAGGAGGGATCTGCTTGGCTGTTCAACGAACATTTTCTGAGTGCCTACTGTGTGCCAGCTCTGTGGGGCTGCCCCTCTTCCCCTCAAGGGGGAACTCCTGTAGCTTCTGGTGGTCCAGGGTGATCCCTGGCAAAATGACTTGGACAAAGGCCTGAACGGTGGCGGTAGGAGCTGTCCAGGCTTGTGCAAAGGCCCTGGGGCAGCACCAAGCCCCAAAGCACTGGAGGAACAGCATGAGTAAACTGAGTGCAGAGAGTAGATTCCTGGCAGGGACGGCATCTCCTGACTTCCCCCTTCCTGCCTCAGTATCCCAGGAGGAGGAGAAAGGCCAAGCCAGTATAAGGGGGTGGGGAGGAGAACACATTTATTATGCGCCTACTGCATGCCAACCTGCCCCCCTCCCCGCGGAGCTGAGGGTGGGGAATGACATGGATTCTGAACCAGCCGTCTGCGTGGGATTTCCGTGCCAGTGTGCAGGACGTACTCCTTTGGGGGGGCCATGGGGGGGGCCACCCCATCCCCTGGTTAGGACAAGTCTGCAGTGGGGGGGGCGTGGCACATTGATGTGTGAGACCAAGTGTGAGGTGGGGACCTACGGGGTGGGGGGTCTGCGGGGGGCGGGGGGGGGACAGCAATGGCTGACATGCACTCGGTGGGGAGGGAGGGAGGGAGAGAGGGAGGGAGAGAGAGAGAGAGGAGCAGGCCAAGAACGCTGACTCTTTAGAATCCGGCTCGGTGATTTACAGGGCTCCTGGCCCTGGCTGGCTGAGGCACCTCGGCCGCAGAGGGGGGACGAGGAGGAGGAGGAGGAGGAGGAGGAGGAGGAGGAGGAGGAGGAGGAGGAGGAGGAGGAGGAGGAGGAGGACGAGGACGAGGACGAGGACGAGGAGGAGGTGGCGGCGGCCAGAGGAGAGAGCCTTTGGGTACCAGAGATCAGAGGCTAGATGGAACCATCAGGCTGAGCAAAATGGGGGACCTAGAAGGGTCTCCCCCCACCTGCCCGTTTGGCCATTTCACCAAAGGGACAAAGCCCCGAACCTCAGCCTCCCCACGCAGTGCTGTGCTGTGTGGCCTGCTGCACCCTCTCTGATCCTCACCCCCTCTGGCTGGGCCTGAGCAGCTGGGATCCCTTCTCCCACCACCCCACACTCGTCCTTTCCCAAACCCCATCCCCGGGGGGGGGGGGACCCCACCACCTCTGCACACACACACACACACCTGCCACAGACTCAAAACTCTGAGGCGGCAAGTCCCCCCCCCCCCCCCCCCCCCCCCCCGCAAGAGAAGAAATGAAGGGTAAATGAATGAAGGAGGGAAGGAGGGGGGAAGGAGGGAGAGAGGGAGGGCTGGGCCGGGCGTGGAGGAGGCCTTGCCAGGCCCAGGGAATCCTGGACCTGTGGCCAGCAGGGATCTGGCCCCGAACCCTGGAGGCGACTAACGTGGCAGGCGGGCGGTGGAAGGCTCGGCCGCTGCGGCTCCTGCCGAGAGTAAAAGTGACCGGGGCTTTGAGTCACCGCCAGAGCGACCCAGACAGGGACCCGGCTCCCAGAATCCTCCAGGGCACCCGCTCCTCCCCTCCCTGCCCCCCCCATGGCACAGGGCACAGGCAGGCTGGCACCGAGCCCCCCCCCCCCCCCCCCCCCGGGCAGGATCCGGGTCGGATCAGCTAAAAGGGAGAGCTATTTTGGGGAGGACTCAGGTTGTAAAATTAGCTGGAGAAGAGACAGAGACAGAGACAGAAAGGGAGAGAGACAGGGGTGAGGAGAGAGGGGGGGACGGACAGACACGGGGACACACGGATGGGACAGAGAGGCAGCTGGAGACACACAGCACTGAGGCCCAGATGAGAGAGAAGGGGGGAGCAGGGGAGGGAAACTGAGGCAGGAGACCCCCCCACACACTGCTTTCTGCCCTTAGCTAGGCTGGCACAAGCTTCAGTGCATCCTGAAGGGGGGGACCCCGAGCCCCCCTCTGGGCCGCACAGGGGCAAGTGGCAGATGCAAAAGGGGGAACCCCTGGGTTGGGCCCCCTCCCCCCACCGCCCCCTCTCTCTATGGTCTCTCTTGGAAACCTTCCATCTGTCCCCCTCCCCATCCTGGGCCTGGCTCACTGCCCCTCGCCCTGCTCCTGGGGAAACTGAGGCCAGGCCTGCACAACAAGGGGGTCCACCCTGGGACAGCCCCCCTCCCTCGGCCTCCACTGCAGGGGAGTGGGGAGGGAATGAGCAACGGGGGGGCAGCTTCCCCCCCCAGGTAAGCACAGAGACCCAGCTGGAGTCACACAGCAAAAGCCAGACCCTCCCCCCCACACACCTAGAACCTGCCCAGCAGGGGAAACTGAGGCCCGGAGAGGGGCAGCGGCCTGTCCAAGGTCACCCACAGGCCCAGGCGTGGGACAAGGGGGGGTACCTGGAGGACTCCAGGGTCACGCGAGGGGGGTCACCCTTCCCCCGTCCCGGAGTGGGGGCGGCCCTCGCAGGCCCAGCGCGGGCTGGGGGGCGGCGCAGGACAGTGTGGCCGCACCTGCCGCGGCTGGGGGGGAAACTGAGGCCAGCTGACGGCCAGCGGGGCGGGGGGGGGGGGGGAGGAGGCAGCTCCTGCGGTCCGGGGGGAGGGGTGGACGGAGGGGGACCCCGAGAGCGAGCGCTCCCCTCTCCCCCAGTGCGCGCGCGCGCGCGGGGTCCCCGCCGGGCGGGGGCAGGTGCGGGTCCGCAGCGCCCGGCGCGGCCCGGGTCCCCCGCCGCGGCCCGGGTCCCCCGCCGCCCCGCGCGCCCTCCTCCCCCGCGCGCACGTGGGCCGGCGGCGCGGGGCGGGGGAGGGGAGCGAGGCGGGCGCCCCCCGCACCCCGTCCCGGGCTTGGACGCGGAAGGGGGGGCCGGGTCTGCTGCTCCAGGGAGGCCCAGCGTGCAGCGGGGAGGCTGGGGGGCGCCCCGCGGAACCCCTACACCCGCAGCCCGGGGGGTCCCCGCCCTTCTCGCCCCCCACCCCGCGCCCCGAGTGTGTGGGGGGTTGGGGGTCCCCGCCCCGCCTCGTGGGGCCCCCGGGGCCCGGGCGCGGGGCGGACGCGGGGCCCGGGGCGGCCGTACCTGGGTCAGGCAGAGCGGGGACGAATACATCCCGGGCGCGGGCGCGGGCGGGCGGCGGGAGGCGCAGGCCGGCCGGAGCGGGCGCGCCGAACTTACTGAGTCATTTTCCAGCCCCCCTCCCGCTCCCCTCCCGCCCTCCCTCCGCGCCCTCCCTCCGCCCGCCCTCCCCTCCCCGCCCGCGCCCTCGCCAGCGCCCGCCTCCCCCGGGCCTCCGGCCGCCTCGCCTCCTTTTCCTGCCCCCCTCCGATCCGTCCGTCCGTCCGTCCGTCCCTCCCCACCCTCGCCCCCCAGGTCTCGCCCCTCCCACTCCGATCCTCCCACTTTTCAACATCCAACTTTCAAAGAAACCAAGGGGAATTAAAAAAAAAAAAAAAAGGGCGCGCGACGAAAGGAAAGAGGGGGGCGAGGAGGAGGGCGGGGAGGGGGCGCCCCCACCCCGCGTCTCGCTGGGGCGCCCCCGGCCCCCAAATTCCTACATCTCCCCAGGCGCCTCCCCCCCCCGCAGGGCCGCCCCCTCCCCCGCCAGCCCAGGGGTGGACGTGGGGGGGCGGGTGTCCTCCCCCCAACACGCACACACTCCCCTCCCCGTGGATTTGGACCCCCCCCCCCCCCCCCCCCGCTGGCCGGGGAAGCTGCAGGACCGCGCCAAGCCGGGAGGGAGGCGCGGTGACGTGGGCAGAGGCCGCGCGCCTTTCCCCTTAAAGATGCAGCCGCAGTCGGGGTGCAGCGGGGGGAGTCCCAGGAGAGCACCCCTGGAGTTCAGGCGCCCAGCTCCAAGGGTCCTGTGTGGGGAGGTGGGGGGGGGTCAGGGGTCTCCTTAGGAATCTGGGTACCGTGCATGCCAAAGGAAGAGGGGGCATGGCATGGCCCACAGGGTCCCCCCTCCTGCTCCCCGCAGCACCTCTGGACAAACCCCAAGGGGTCCCCGGTACACCCCTGCCCTCCCCCCCCAGCAGGGACTTGAAGCAGCCCAGCGTGCGTGTGTGTGTGTGTGTGTGTGTGTGTGTGTGTGTCCTGTTCACAGCTGTGCACCCTGAGATTTCCCCGGTCCAGCCAGTGTGGCTTGGGGGTCAGCCACCGACGGAGGGCTGGTGGGAGGGGGGACTGAGTGCCCTGTCCCGGGGCTGGGCCTGAAGGGCCCTTCGAGGGACCCTGGCACCACTCAGATGGCCACAGGATGTTCTTAGAAAGTCAGTACGTGAGTTCCGACTGCTCTCCTGTCCCCAAGGTGAGGCAGCTCCCCTGTGGCCAAGGGGACAGAAGATGCCACCAGCCCTGAAGGGGGGAGGGGACAGACTCAGGGCTCAGGGCCAGCAAGATCGTCCCTGCCAGCTGCGCGACACTTATGGGTCAGTGCCGGGCACCTCACGTACAGTCGTCAAAAGGGGTGTGTGTGTGTGTGTGTGTGTGTGTGTGTGTGTGTGTGTGTGTGTGTGTGTGTATGTGTGTCTGTGTATGCGCACACGCACCAGTCCTGGGGCTTGAACTCATGGCCTTGCAATCTCCCCCCCCCCCAACCCCCTGGTTTTCTGCACAAGGCTGGTACTCTGCCACTTGGGCCACAGCTCTGCTTCCAGCCTTGGGCTGGTTTCGAACCGTGATCCTCAGATCTCCGCCTCCTGAGTAGATTTGTCTTTTCTTTTCAAACATGCTGTGCAGTTGGGAGGAGGAGGGGGGACGCAGGGCGTGTGCATCATGAAAGACTGTGTTTTATTAACACGTGCCACAACGCATCAAGGGTCACATCTTAAAATTCACACAAAGTGGGAAGGGGAGGCAGACCTAGGGTCATTCATTCTCCCCGTGTGAGGTGACCCCGAGTGTCCTGCTCCCTACTACTTGTCTAGCTTTAATCTGGTAACCGAGGTCCTGCTCTCTGAAGGGAAACCTGGGCAGATCATAGTGGGGCTCTTGAAGATTTGTGTCCCTGTGTGGGGGGGGGCCAGGATGGTTTGGGGTGACAAGTTGTCTTACTGTCATAGGTAGAAGGGATAACTAGCTGACCCCCCTCGTGGATGAATGCCAAAGAACAAAGTGCATGGCTGCTGTCTGTGGCATGTTTCCTCCAGCCAGCAGAACTAGTGCCTCAGTTTCCCCTGTGTGAAACTGGGGGTGGGGAGCGGGGGAGAATCATAGCTCCTACCCCTCTGGGTTTGTAGATATGCATGGTACATGATAGAACAGAAGGCAGGGAGGAGGGATGAGTTACCTCAAAGCACAACCTGGCTTTTATTATTATTATTATTTGTTGTTGTTGTCATCATTATTATTTTAAGTACAGGAATATTCTCCTCGACACTGTCCTAGAATTCTTTGGAGTTGTCCCAGATGCAGGTGCACATGGGGAGGGGAATCCTCACAAACAGTTGGCCAGGGCCAACAATTGGGCAGCAGCCCTGTGTCCATCTGCTACAGACAGTCTTCACTGTGACCAGCCGGAATACTATGCAACCTGGCAAAGAACAGAGCTCCCCACTGAGATCTCTCCAAAGGCATCCAGCAGGAGGGGGACTGGAGACCTACAATTCTGGCCCTCAGCATGTGGGCACTGGAGGTGGCCTGGAGAAACACGCACATCTGAGAGCATTCCTCCTTCTCGATTATAACACACACGTGTGCACATCACAATGCAGCAAGCCTTACGTCCATATACGCGCAGCCTCTGTGGCGGGCAGGGGTCCTGGACAACAGCACCCGGCAGCCTTGTCATAGGAGACGCCCCTGATGCGGGGGGGCTGTCACCTGTGGGGCTGGGGTCCCCTGACTGGGGCAGGCAGAGAGTGTGGATTTCAACTGTGGGCCTTCTAGATAGGTAGAGACTCAGCACACTGATCATGAACAACCCAGACAGCGCCTGGGACCCAGAGGTAACATGACATGACAACCACCAAGCCCCTCAGAGACGAAGGCCACACACACACACACACACACATACATGGAGCCAGACATGGTCATCCCACTCTACACAGGAGAAACTGAGGCTCTACATTAGGGTGAGATGCAGGCCTGTCCAGAGACATGCACTCACACGCAGACACACACCACACACCACAAAGACATGTGCAAATAATGCAGACACAACACACACACACACACAAATAGACATAGACATCACAGACACACACCACAGACATGACACACAGAGACACAAATAATAGACACACATATATAATAATAGACACACAACAGAGAGATATAACGCACACATAAACCATACAGAGAACACACATATAAACATACAGACAATACACATACACACACGAGACACACAGCACACAGACACACAGCACACAGACACGACACACACACCACATAACAGTCACACAAGGGTATGTCCATGTCCATGCACAGCCACAACCACAAACATACACCCCTGTTCCTTCCCTTGATGGTCCCAGCTATCCCCCAAAGCCGGGCCAGAGGCATGGTGGGGACCTGGGGGGGAGATGAGGCTCCCATGCAGTGTACCCTGTGTGTACCCATGTCCTTGTCCATGTGTGAACAGACATGTGTGTCTGTGCGTGGTTGAACTGGACACCTTGGGAGAACAGAATGAAGGGGGAGGTGGGGCGCAGAACTGGAGTATGGGACCCTAATGTGTGTGTGGCATTGGGGAACCCCTTTTCTCCCCTTCCCAGCCTCTCAAGTGGGATGGATGGATGGAAAGGAGAAGAAGAAAAAGAGAGAAAAAAAGCGGAAGCTGGGGCCAATGGCTCACTCCCTGTCATCTTAGCTACTCAAGACACTAAGATCTGAGGACCACAGTTCGAAGCCAACCTCCGTAAGAAAGTCGGGGAGACTTGTACGTATTTCCAACTAATCAGCAAAAAGCCGGAAGTGGAGCTGTGGCTCAAGTGGTAGGACGCCAGCCTTCAGCACCCAAGCCCTGAGGGAGTTCCAGCCCCAGAACTGGCCAATAAAAACAAAAAAGCTGAGCCTCCGTCCTGGCCTTGAGTTTTATATTTAGAGAACTATATAAACTCGGGGGGGGGGGGACCCCCTTTTCCTCCCCTTCCCCCCCCAAACCAGAAGAACAACTCAGCGCCAGCCCTGGTCTGGTCTGGTCCATTTCCTGAGGCAGCTTTGGTCCCCAGGACAGGGGCTGAGGGGGTTCCCAGACCGGTCCCCACCGCACCCCAGGACCTCCGGCTGGCCCTGCCCCCCTGGGGCGGTGCCCGCGCTCCAGGGGGGGGGGAGAGGGAATGGGGGGGAGGTGGGCGAGCTGGGGAGGTGAAGGGGGGAGGTCAGGTGACACCGGGCTGGCGGGACAGCGCTTGGCAAAGGCCAGAGGCCAACCGTGCCCCCCCCAACCCCTCCCGGTGCCCCCCCCCGGGGGACAAGGCGACGGCAGCGGGGACCCGGGGACGGGGAGCCATTCCCCGGGGAGGGGACTCCGAGCGCGCGCCACTCACACGGGGCCCGGCGACACCCAAGTGTCACCCCCTCCCCGACCACCACCGGGGTGCAGCCGCACGACAGACAGACAGACAGGCCGACCGGCAGACCCCCCACCCCGGGGGCCGCAGCCCCGCCGCGCGCTCTCGCGGGAACCACCGCGCCCCGCCGCGCGCCACACAAAAGCTGACACCCGCGCACGTGGGTGCGCGGACACCCGGGGACCCGTCAGAGGCCGACGCGGGGGGGACCCGAGCCGCCCCCCCTCCGCGCAGCGGGACGGACGGGACCGGCCGGGCCGCCGACGCGGCGGGGCGCTCCCGGGACTGGGGAGTCGCGGTCCGGGGGCGGCCCGGGAGGGCGGGAGGGAGCGGGGGGCGGCGGCCCGGCTCTGCGCGGCGCCCCCCGGGGCTCCAAGTTCAAGGCGCCCCGCGGCGGCCGCCGCGCTCCCCGCCCCTCTCCGCAGCGGCCATTTTCCGCTAGCTGGCGCGCCGAGCCCGCCGGGGCCCGGGGGGGGGGGGCCGGGGCCCGGGGGCGCCCCGCCAGGTCTCCCCGCGATCGCCAGACCCCCCTCCCCTCGGCGGGGGACGCCGCGGGCTGCGGGCGCGGGGTTCGCGCTCCGCGGAGGGGGGTGCCGCGCCCTCCGCCGCCCGGGGATCCGGTCCCGGGAACGCGGGGGGAGGGGGTGCGGGGAGAAGTGGGGGGG